CTAAGTACAGGGGGTAGATTATAGAAAGGGAAGGTGTTAGCACCCTTTTTATCTGTGGTTTTCCACGGGCTCTCAGGTACTTGCTCATTTTTAAATTTCTTGTTTGTGCTTGTTTTGAAAAAAAATTATTTACTTCGTGATAACCATTGTATCGGTCCTCAAGAGTGTGACGAAGTTGTTTTGAAAACTGTTTTGAAAAGTGTTTGTGTGAAAAAGTTTTTATTTTGAGCAAGTACTTAAGATTTTAACCTACTCGAAAAAAGTTTGTTCGTTTTCGTTTCCTTTAGACAATGCTATCCTACTATTAAGGAGTAGGTAGCTCCTTCGTTGGATTTATAAAGGGATGTTCGAAGGGACAAAATGGTCTCTGAAGGCAACAAGTAAAGATACCTTAGTGTTCCGAAGGGACTATCGTCATAAGATTAATTCGTAGGCAACTCGAGGGACAAGTAGGGACTATGATCTTTATGACGATTTTGAATCGCGGGTCATTGCTAAGGTATCCCTACATTCGAGGGACACGACTATTATTTCCGAGGCAACCAAGTGGGGCAAACCCTAGGAGTGAACTTGTGCAAGTGTGTTTTTTTCAGTTAATTATCTTTGCACAACTAGGGGTTTCTACTGTATTAACCATTTATCTTTTACATACAAGCCTATTGTCCATACATCTAATAGTTAAATAGTTGCGGAAATTAAAAGCGAGAAATTAAAATCCTAACTATTACAAGGCTTTGGGGAGGGGATTACATAATCAAAAACCGGGAAATAAACAGTAAATAAAACCCTAATTTGAAACTATTACAAACCATCAACAGTTACATTAATTGAAAAATAATGGTACGGAAAGAAATAAACGCGCGAAGAATTAAGATGGGAATAAGTCAAAAAGTACTAAAAATCTAATTAATTAAAAAATGTTTTTTTTTGTATTTTTTTATTGAGAAAATAACATAAATTTTGAAATTTTCAAGTTAGTCCTAATTTCTATTAAATTTTAATTACAAAAAAAAATATTTAAGTTAACCTAATTAAACTAATTAATTAAATGTAAATAAATATTTTATGAAAATAATTAACTAAATCTAATATTTTGTAATTTTCTGATTTTATGATTTAATTAAAAAAAGATTTTTATTGTAAAATAATTAAAATAAATGATTTTGGTAAAATAATTAAAACAAATAAAGAAATAAGAAATTAAAAGAGAATTGAAACTTGGGCCTGTTGCTGGAAGGAATAAGGGGGGGGGGGGGGTGCTGCCAAATTTCTTGTTAGGCCCAAAGTTGGCCCAGAGTCTGGCGTCTGGTCCAGTGGGACCAGCTTCTGAAGGTTCACAGTGGACCAACATACATTGCACGTTGAATCTATGATGGAGATTAATCCAAGGGATGAGATCAGAGAGTGCGTGGTGGTCTTCAGAACATGGTGTTTACTGGATTTGGAATTGTTGTTTCAAAAAATGTAAAAGGTCTGGACCTGGGATCGAATCCAGGTCCTCCCTCTCACATGCCTTCTCCCCTTGCCATCTGAGCTAGCTCGTTAGTCATATACATAATCAAATAAAATAAATATAATACAAACAAAGCGCTTGACCTAAGAAACACGCGAATTTTCAAATGGTCCAACAGGACGTTGCCACGCATTCTTCTTCTTCCCTGGTACTTTTATTTTAGGCAGAAACCTTTACATACGGTTTCATGGCTGTAACTACATCCCTGTAAATCTCAAAAATTAATATCAAGCATGATAAATTCATTCTAAGCATATAGATCAATTTATTTTGATCTCACGAGCGTGATGGCGTCCTTCTTTTGCTTCAATTTTGCCTGTATCACAAACCCCTAAAATATGACCTCAAACCCTAGCAATGACATACGCCTCTATACGCATCCAAACTCAAAATTAATTATACAGACAACTTCTAAATGACAATATAAACATGAATGGATGTTTTGAAATCATTTATAACGCGTAAATATCCAAAATCAAATTCAAGAATGGAGGATAAACAGTGATACCGTTATGGTGCATTCTGAAGGTGTTGATGCGTGCAAGTGATGCTATTAGCTTTAGGAGGTTGCCATGAATGTGGTTTGATCCTTAGTGTGATACAGTGGCAGAACCGACTGTTTGATGTTGGTTTGCGTTTTGCATTTTTTTTATTCGCAAAATGTCGCGGTAAGTAAGAGTCGCCACCGACTTTTATTTCATCCAATCGGAAAGGAAAAAAGTACAGAAAAAATCCTTTTTCAAGATATTCTGAGTACGGGGGGTAGATTATAGAAATGGAAGGTGTTAGCATCCTTTCTATCCATGGTTTTCCATGGGCTCTTAAGTACTTGCTCATCTTTTTAAATTGCTTGTGTTTGTGTGCCTTATTTTGAAAATGTCTTACTTCGTAATAACTCTTGTATCAGTCCTCAAAGGTGTGACGAAGTTGTTTTGAAAATTGTTTTGAAATGTGTAATTGTGAAAAGTTTTGATTTGAGCAAGTCTTCATTTGCGTATGGAAGAACACATGAATTTCTTCCCAGACTTGCCATGAGTGACGAAGAAGAACGAAACGAGAGAGGAGCGAATCTGAAATCGTGAATAACCACCAAGTGCACAACAGTGCATCCTGTTCTTCCCACGAAACGAAGTTAGGGTTCTCACTTTCGGTGTCACGATCGGCAATAGTGAGGTACCGTTCCGGTATCTGAGGTGATACGACAAATCGCACCATTTTCGTGCCACGAAGAACTCCTTCAACTTGTTGTTTCCACTGTCGATAGTTGTTCTCATCAAGCTTGACTGAGATCTTTTGTTTGAAGGTGAAGTTAGCAGCGGCGAAGCTGTCAGCGCTTGCGGTGGAAGACGGCGACAGAGAAGCCATGTGCATCGAGGATCAGAGATAAGCTCTGGATACCATGATAGAAAAATAGAGTAGCAAAAGAGTGAAGAGAAAGAGAAGAGAGAGAGGAAAAATGAAAAACATAATTTGTTATAGTTAAACTGATTCAGTTACAACGATCCTTTATATAGAAAGGATAAGGGATAGAAATTGAATTAGACACTAGTCTAATTTTCTTATACTAGAATATTACAGGATTACCCTTATATCTCTAATATCCTTTCTGATTCCTTCAATTTTTCACATGAATTTTCAGCTTCAAGAATTTTAATTGAATGTAAAACAATAAATGTGGAAAGTAAATCTCAAAAATATGAGCAAAGTCGGCGTCTTCTTCGTTGGAGGAGGATGTTTATGAAACGGAGAAAGAGATCCATCATGACTGACAACTTGCAAAATCAATTACGAAAATAGGCAGCCCCTGTTATGCTAAATTCAAATTCAAAAAATACTTTCAAAATTTACAATTATAAAGCATAAAAATTGATTCATACCTTAGCCTGAGAAACCCAATCCAACCAAATTTTAATACATGAAAACAGAAGAAAAAAAATATGTAAGTCAGTGCAAGCCAATTAGATTGATTAATGTAATCGTTAGGTGTACATGAAACGTATCCATTCAAAATTTATCTGTGAAGTCCTGTCAGCAAGAACATCTAACAGCAATATGGGAAAGTATTATGATATTCTTCAAGGACTTGAACAAAATATCTAAAGTTTTCCATGCGTTTAACCAATAAGTTTTTGTAGAATCTATACACTTCTAAATAAACACTCAGAATAAGTTAGTTTTGACACAAATAAAAGGGTTTAAGTTTTGAAATGAAGAACCTTATTGGCAGTGAAAACCCTATCAATGTGTTTTCCAGCAATATTCTGAGACACTGTAACAATAAGACATCAACAACCACGCATTTGAAACAGAAAAAATTAGAAAGTGATTGGTATGAAACTTTCATCGAACATTTTATAGACAAGGTGCAACGCTCTGTATCACGCTGGACACGTACCCCCTCTTTCACACCAGCCCCCAAGGGTATTGAAATGACAATGTAGATTAAGTTGTGTTACTTGTAAAATCAACAAAAGGTCACAATGATTAAAATGAGAACATCAAAACTCTCTTCATCACCACTTTGTAACAACAAAAAACCCAAATTTGAAGAAGAAGATGCTCACCTTATGCTCAGATAAGTCACGTTCGTAGTTTCGAAACCATACGAAAACCATAAAAACAATGCCGATTGAGATAGTCGAAGGAGATCATTATTGAGAGTGAGAAGAGGAAAGAATGAGTAAATTGAAGATGGAGTTGTGGTAGAGAGGATCGATGTGTTTGGAAATGTGTTGCCTCGTAAAAGCAATCCATATGCAGGGATGGGACATTTGGGGACGGTGCAGATGCCAGAGCGTAGAAAGTATAAAGCAGAGAGACAGAGGGTTAGAAATTCAGTACGATTGCGATTATGGTTAGAAGAATAATGTAACTCAGTTTACTATTAGAAGAAGAAAAAACAGATTTGTAGAGATGTAGTAGTTCCTAATCAATTATTCAGTTACATAGTTACCACGGGGTAGAAAAAGACCAACTATCCACCAATTGTGTTAACGTGTTGGTAGATGGCAAAAAGGTAGTAAGGGTTTTTCCAGAACCTTAAATGCTCTTATATGGTAGGTTTGACTAAGACAAATCCTTTGACAAGTGGAAGGACAACAGTTGTCTTTCTTCCAAGATTAGCTTTCCGATGACTCTTTGAGAAATACTTCTGCAGAGACTTCAACATTTAGATGGATTGTATTTTTGCCTGAAAACATTGAGGGTATTACACATCTATATAACTGCCATGCCATCCTCCTGACACAAATTTCGTGACATACAACATTATTCATAGAAATATACTTTGTATTTCATATTCAGTAAAATAACAAATAACATGTATTTAAAGAATACAAAAAGGCAGTAATCAGAGCACCAATTCAGTCAAAAATCAGAGGAATTCTTCTCCTCGTGAATGTTAATTCTAAATATGATAAAGATTAAAAAAAATGACAACTAATTACAATTTACATCTGGTCTTAATGATCTGTAAACAGCAGAATTTCTACAATCTTTGAATGTCAGTTACTTTTAGCTTCAACTTCATGATTCCAGCTTGAACTTCAACTTCTCCTTTGGATGAATCCACTTTTAAAACGGTCATTTTTTTCCCAAGGGCAGAAACATGCACTGTATCACCAACTTTAGGAACAGCAAACCTATCTGTAAGATTAACAAGCTGAGTCAGAACTGCATACATACTCTCACGTTATAACTCGTATAACACAAGATCGCACAATCACTATGTGAAAAGCAGCTAGGACTGTACACTTAATTTAGACAAACAAAATCTATCATGGAAGCATGTAAATATCTCATAATAAGAGTTTAATGGTTATATAAGGTAGCATAAAAATGTTTATAACTGTTCTTGTTTCATTATTTTGCAGTATACCTTTTGACGATTTTTCAATTTTTTTTACATCGGATGGATTTCTATCTGTAAGAGTAGATTTGTTATTATCTGATGCAGTATGGAGGTCGTTAGTTGTTGATACAGGAGAGCTCTTAATGGCTTTATTGTGCTGTGAAATTTTCTTAGCTGATGCACCCAGCTCCCTGACGTTCTTGTGAAGAATGGATCTTGCCATCGCTGCAGACGCAGATACATCTCTAAGCTTTTTAAGTCTTAGACTTGTACTATGTTCCGTGATCTTCTTTCTGGTTTTCAATAGACTACTGTGAAGTCTTCTGGATTGTCTACAATTGCAAACATAAAAAACTCTACTAAAAACTTACAAATAATCCAAAATGTATGGTAGAGTTCAGTTAATCGCTCTTGGTAATCTTGTTTTAACTTGTACTGAGATGCAAAGATATGGAGGATGAGGAATCCAATAAATTTGGTTTTTGTAAAAACAAAAGAGTCTCACTGCAGATAATAATGTGCTTCAGTTAATCGCCGGTGGTAATCTTGTTTTAACTTCTCCATATCAGTAATTACCTGCATTGAAAGTAAACAACATCAAGGCTGCTAAAATATTTGCGATGGAAAAATCCATCATCAAGTAATCTCTAAAGGTGAGATTATTTACTTTAATCTCCAAAGAATTGCTTATTTTAGTGGAGCCAAATCCAACGCAAAAATAACATAAATATATCTGATGTTAAGAGGGTATCACACATAACTGTAAACAAATAATAAGTATAATTATGATACGTTAAAAATACCTCGTCAATCTCTGCACTAGAAGAACCGTATAACTTACGAGCAGTATCTATAACAACAGATGGTAGTCCCAGCCTCTCAGCTATATTGATTGCATTTGAGCGCCCTACGATAAAAATCTCATGAGTTATGTCCATTAGAAGTATGTATTATGCTAGATTCTCAATCAAGTTATTCATGATACAGACATTCTCTTTGTTAACTGTTAAGGCCACATGATTACAAAACATCGTTTACTATATCCGTGAGTTAGAGTGCTTACCGGGTATGCCCCAAAGAACTTTGTAAGTTGGCTTCAAATTTACTTCATCAAACTCCATGCATGCGTTTTCAAAGGCGTCATTACTGCTCATGAAATGAAACCCATGAAAGCAGAACTTGAGATAACAGAAAATGATAGCATATCTACGCAGTCATGGATTTTCTTTAATGTTTTACTTTCATCATTAGTCTTGAAGATTAGCACATATCAAATCATAATAATTTAATTCTGATTTGTCAAGCTGTTACAAAACAGTAGTGTAAATAGATTTATTATCTATTATTGTCATTTCCTTATTTAGGTAGAAGCAATTATAGGAAATTATTTCTCTGTTTATTAACAAATTAGTGCATTGTATTCTATATATATCTCAAAATGTAACAGTTCCAGTATCAATGAAATATACAACATATTTCTATATGGTATCATAGAACAAACCATCCCTAAACCTTGAGCACCACCTATGGCAGATACTAGAGCAGAAAATTCAGCCAACAGTTTGGCTGAAGGACATGCTCTTCCTATCACTAGTCACAAATTTTTTCCTATCACTAGTCACAAATTGAATAGCCAGAATTACAATCAATGGGTGCGCTCAGTCAAAATCTACCTTCAAGGAAAAGGGATGGAAGGTTATATCACAGAAGACTCCAAGTGTCCAAAAGAGGGGATTCCAACCTTGAAAAATGGCAACTAGAAAACAGTCTAGTAATGTCATGGCTGCTAAACACCATGACAAATGAAATTGGAGAAAATTTCTTGTACTATGACACTGCCAAAGAGATGTGGGATGCCGTAAAAGAAACCTACTCTAATGTCGACAATACATCTGCAATTTTTGAAATCAAGAGCATACTCCATGACTTGCGTCAAGATGACCGCTCAGTCACAGAGTATTTTAATACTCTCAATCGTCACTGGCAGCAACTGGATGTATATGATAAAGTTGAATGGAGCTGCACAGAAGATAAAAAGAAGTACAAAGAATTGGTGGAGAAAGATAAAGTCTACAAATTTCTCTTAAGTTTGAACACAGAACTTGATGAAGTTCGTGGGAGAATCCTTGGAACCAAACCTCTTCCAAACATTCGAGAAGCATTCTCGGAAATACGAAAAGAGGAGAGCAGGAGAAAAGTGATGCTTGGAAAATCCAGTGCAGCCCCATCTATAGAAGGATCTACAATGGCAGCAAGGGGAGATCAGCGATCTTTCCAAAAGAAAACTCGGTCTTGGTGTGACCACTGCAAGAAACCGGGTCATACCAAGGACACATGCTGGATCGTTCATGAAAAACCATCAGGGCTAAAATGAACCAAAAACTAGGACAGCAGAGGGAACACAGCTGAGGTAAATTCTCACTCATCACCATTCAATAAGGAGCAAATGGAAGCCTTACAAAAAATGCTTCAACAAACAATTGGTACAGCTATTGTGGCACAAAAAGGTAATTTTTTGCATGCTCTAAACACTAGCAGGGGAAAACAAAAATCATGGATTATTGACTCAGGAGCATCTGATCACATGACTGGAGATTTGACTGTCTTTAATAGCTATTCTCCATGTCAAAATAATTCGACTGTTCGAATTGTTGATGGTACCCTTTCTAAGGTCATGGGTAAAGGTTCAGTCATTATTTTGCAAAATATACTCTTAGTTCAGTTTTGTATGTGCCTAAACTTGATTGTAACTTGCTGTCCATCAGTAAACTTACACAGGATTTGAAGTGTATCACTAAATTTTTTCCTAACCTGTGTGAATTTCAGATTTTGGAGTCGGGAAGGACGATTGGCAATGCTAAAGAATGTGCTGGACTCTATATCCTTCAGGCTGAAGCATCTAAACCAGAATCTGTGGCAGCCTCTTGCGCTGTAGTTTCTGCATGTAGTGAAATGCTGTGGCACTATAGACTAGGCCACCCAAATTTTATGTACTTGAAAAAAATGCTTCCTAAACTATTCAATAAAAATCAGAAGTTGTTTCAATGTGAAATTTGTCAATTGTCCAAACATACACGCAGCCCCCACCCACCTTAACCCTATAAACCTTCCAAACCTTTTTATGTTATTCATAGTGATGTATGGGGACCATCGCGGGTCAAAAATGTAACTGGAGCAAGATGGTTTGTCACCTTTATTGATGACCACACACGGATCACTTGGGTCTACCTTATGAAAGATAAATTGGAAGTTGGTAGGATATTTGTTTCCATACCATGGTGGAAACACAATTTCAAAGCAAAATTAGAGTGCTTAGGAGTGATAATGGTCGTGAGTACTATAATTTTGCACTAAGCTCATGCTTTACGCAACATGGAATAATACACCAAACCTCATGTGTGGATACACCTCAACAGAACCGGGGTTGCCGAGAGAAAGAATAGACACCTCCTAGAAGTAACCCGATCTCTCATGCTAGCTACAAATGTACCTAACCAGTTTTGGGGAGAAGTTGTCCTCTCTGCAACCTATCTAATAACAGAATGCCTTCCCGAATCCTTAACTTTCATACGCCTTACTCCACTCTCCAAACCTTATACCCAACCAATCTATTCTTACATCTATTCCTTTGAAAATATTTGGATGCACAACCTTTGTCCATAATCTTGATCCCCAACGCAGTAAACTTGACCCGAAATCCATTAAATGCATATTCCTCGGCTACTCTCCTCACCAAAAGGGATACAAATGTTATTCACCTCAAAACAAAAAATTCTATCACACCATGGATGTAACTTTTTTTGAGAATCAGCCATATTACCCCAAAATTAGCATTCAGGGGGAGAACACCTTTCCAATTGAAGTGGTAGAATCCCAACTTTTGGAACTTGAATTAACTGAACCCAAACTCACTGCAGAGGCATCAAAATCTACACCTGAACTGCAGAACCAAATGAAAATGCAACAGAAACTGCAGAACCTACATGTGGACCAGATGAAACTACGTTAGAAAATACAGAGGAAATTGCAGTAGAAACTGCAGCCCCTACAACAGAAACTGCACCAGGAAACAACGTGAAAGTGTACTCCAGGAAGAGCAAGAAGGGAATAGAGTCCTGCACAGCTCCAAGGCAGAACCAAGAAACCTCCAAGACTCCAGAAAATGGCGTTCCCTCGGGTAATACTGCTCCTAACTCTGTGAATGTTGATGATATTGATATTCCTATTGCGTTGAGAAAAAATGTAAGATCCTGTACCAAACATCCCATTGAAAGATTTGTATCTTATGGAAAATTGTCCCAAAGTTACAAGACCTTTGTAACAGCTCTTGACAATACACATATTCCAAGCAACATCCATGAGGCACTCCAAAATTCTGAATGGGGCAGCAGCCGTAACGGAAGAAGTTCAGGCCTTAATTAAGAATGGCACTTGGGAGATCACAAGCCTACCTGCAGGGAAGAAGCCGGTAGGATGCAAATGGATATTCTCCATGAAGTATAATGCAGATGGGAGTGTAAATCGGTACAAAGCTCGACTTGTATCAAAGGGATTTACTCAATCATATGGAGTAGATTATGAAGAGACCTTTGCACCGGTGGCAAAACTAAACTCCGTTAGAGTTATTATCTCTTAGGCTGCAAATTTAGATTGGCCACTCCATCAACTAGACATCAAGAATGCATTTTTAAATGGTGACCTAGAAGAGGAAGTTTATATGCAGATTCCTCCTGGACTCGAATCATCCAGCACCGCAAATATGGTGTGCAGGCTCCGAAAATCCCTTTATGGCCTCAAGCAGTCTCCAAGGGCGTGGTTTGATAGATTGACTTGAGTTGTCAAGAAAGACGGATTCAACCAATGCCAATCAGATCACACTATGTTTGTTAAACACTCCATGGAAGGAAAGGTAGCTTTGTTTATTGTTTATGTGGATGATATTGTTATTACAGGAAATGATTATGATCAAATTGATCATTTAAATGGATTCATGGCAAAGGAATTTGAAGTTAAGGACTTGGGACAACTTAAGTATTTTTTAGGGACAGAAGTTGCTCAAACAAAGGATAGTATCTATGTATCACAAAGGAAATACACCCTTGACTTACTTCAAGAAACTGGAATGCTTGGGTGCAAGGCAGCTAATACACCAATAGAACAAATAAAAGGAAGAGAAGATGAAAGTCCACCAACCGACAAAGATAGATATCAAAGTCTAGTTGGGAAACTAATCTACCTATCTCACACTACGCCCGACATTGGGTTCGCTGTAAGCTTGGCTAGCCGCTACATGTCAAATCCAACCGAGTCTAACATGAAAATGGCGAATAGAATCCTCCAATACCTCAAAGGCACACCAGGCCGAGGCCTCCACTTCAAGAGGAATTCAAACATGGACATTGAAGTTTATACAGATTCAGATTGGGCAGGATGCTCCACAGACAGAAAATCGACTACAGGTTATTGTTCATTTGTGTGGGGGAACCTAATAACTTGGCGAAGCAAGAAACAATCTGTAGTGGCGAGGAGTAGTGCAGAAGCAGAATTTAGAGCTATGGCCCTAGGTATTTGTGAAGGAATGTGGCTTAAGAGCAGGCTAGATGAAAACAAAATTCAAGTGAACCATACCGTGAGGTTACTATGTGATAACAACGCTGCTATAAGCATTGCAAAGAACCCAGTCCAACATGATAGAACAAAACATGTGGAAATTAACCGACACTTCATTAAAGAAAAAATTGATCATAAGATTATAAGTATTGATCATATTCCATCATGCAAGCAAACTACAAATATCTCAACTAAGGCTCTTTCAAGGAATACTTATGAAAATATCAAATCCAATCTGGGTATGATAGACATCTACCACTTAGATTGAGGGGGAATGTTGAAGATTAGCACATATCAAATCATAATCATTTGATTCTGATTTATCAAACTGTTACAAAACAGTGATGTAAATAGATTTATTATCTATTATTGTCATTTTCTTATTTAGGTAGAAGCAATTATAGGAAACTATTTCTCTGTTTATTAACAAATTAGTGCGCATTGTATTCTATATATACCTCAAAATGTAACAGTTTCAATATCAATGAAATATACAACATATTTCTATAATTAGTATTACCTACCTGTATTTTAGGGTTTTAAGTTCACCGTGATGAGTCGTTGCTATTGTCAATAAACAACCGTCTTGGGCAAAAGATTCCAATATTGACATTCCTAGTGCTGCTCCTTCAAGGGGATTTGTTCCTGCACCGACCTAACAATTGCAAACATTGTTCTATCCATTATACACTTAAATGAAATTACATATTTGAACGGTTAAATAAGTTCACCCAATAGATACCTCATCTAGAAGCACCAGTGACTGTCTTGTTGACTGTAATTTAATATTCTGCAAGATAAAAGTAAAAGCAAAAAAAAAAACACTCATCTACTTGAGACATAATAGAAGAAAATTGTGCGCCACTCAGTGAGTGTAATCTGTAACATTCAGCATTTAAAATGTTAATAAAGCTCGACTAACATGTTTATAAGTCGCTCAATTTCACTGGAGCACTACAGTGTAGTGAAGTGTAACATATTAAGAAATGCGGAAAAAAATGAAAGAAGGTGCTTTCAGCATTAAGTTCAATTGTACACAATGAAAACATATTTTCCTTACACTTATCTGTTTCAGGTGACCGGAGAACGTAGACAGAGACTGTGATAAGGACTGTTCATCACCAATGTCAGCAAAAACAGAATCAAACCAAGGAATTTGTACAGATTCAGAAGCAAGAACATAGAGACCTGCACCATGACAGTCTCAGAGCATTAAAATCCTAAGAGTATTTAAACATAGCATGAAATGAAGATTCTGTCATCATTAACAGGTTAGTATTTCTAAGAATTTGTGCTAGAACTAACTCAACCCTAAAAGTTAGCGCATGGGGTGAGGAATGAGGATTAACTAAGTCTTATAATTTTATTAAGAAATACTATTTTTTCATATATCTGGTCAATGTGGGATCTCAACACACCCTCTCACACCCTACACAGTGAAGACAGACCAAGGTGATTGCAGTGAAGGCCACAAGGGTTTCTGTTGGAAGTTATTAGAGAGATAAGTACAGAATCTGTTGATTCTGTATTATACAGCTCAGCATTCATTGTAAATAATATATGAGTAATTAGCTATTAGTAATTAGTAATTAGTTGTCTTCTACCATATTTAGAATTAGCATTTAAAGGGAGAATTATTGCTCTGATTCTCAGGTCAGATTTAGGATTATTGATCTGTCCCTTGTCTTCTATATATACCTTTCATGTATTACTTATCGAATTATCAAAGAAATACAGATTGTCTGTTTCTTTATGGTATCAGTTGCTGGAAGAATTCCTTAGTTTTTTTTTTTTCTTCTTTTGCTTCCGTTTTTTTTTCTTTCCATCCCACGTAATGTCTGATCACTTGTCTGATACCGAGTCCCAGCATTCACCCAAACATTCTTCACCTAAAACTGAAATACCTCAATCTGTCAGGACATACCATGAAAATCACCCTGTTCAGATCACAACAATTCGACTGAACGGTCCTAATTATTTTCGGTGGTCACAGTCTGTCCGTTTGTATCTCAGGGGGAGAGGAAAAATTGGCTACATCACTGGAGACAAGAAACAACCAGACAAGGAAGGTGCAGACTACGATAGTTGGGATGCTGAAAATTCCATGGTCATGACATGGCTAGTCAATTCCATGACTGAAGAGATAGGTGCAAACTATCTTTGTTATGCTACTGCAAAAGATCTTTGGGAAAGTGTCTCTCAGATGTATTCCGATTTGGACAACCAATCCCAAATTTATGAATTAACTCTCCAGCTTGGAGAAATTCGTCAAGCTGAAGATTCTGTTACCAAATACTTCAATTGTCTCAAGCGTATTTGGCAAGATTTGGATCTGTTCAATGTATATGAGTGGAAGTCACCCGAGGACTGCAAACACTACAAGAAGATGGTGGATGTTCGTCGTGTCTTCAAGTTTCTTGCAGGTCTAAATATTGAGTTTGATGAGGTTCGTGGCCGAATTCTTGGCAGGAACCCTATCCCTCCAATTGGTGAAGTATTTGCTGAAGTGCGTCGCGAAGAGAGTCGCAGGCAGGTGATGCTTGGAAAAAAGGCTGCCATTGTCCCTCCACCAGTCGAAGGATCTGCATTGGCTGTTCCTCAAGTCAATCGCAAACCTTTCCCTAATCCACGAGGTGGTGACAAGAATCATTTAGTTTGCGACTACTGTGGTCAAAATCGTCACACTCGGCAAAACTGTTTCAAACTACATGGTAGGCCAAATAATAGAAAGGCTGGAAGGTTTGGTGATCGCCCTACGTCTACAACCAATGAGGCTGACTCGTCTCCATTTACTAAGGAGCAAATGGATCACCTTTTTAAACTTCTAAAGTTCAATTCATCACCTAATGTTCCTGTTGCAACTGTGGTACAAACAGGTAAGAATTCTTGGGCATTATCTGTCCAAAACCACTCCAACCCTTGGATAATAGATTCAGGGGCATCTGAACATATGACCAATTGCTCTCATTTATTCAGTTCATATTTCCCTTGTTCCGGGTCTGAAAAAGTAAGGATTGCTGATGGTAGTTATTCTAGTATTGCAGGCAAAGGCAGCATAAAAATTTCAGAGCAAATTACTTTGCAATCTGTTTTACACGTTCCTAAATTTGCTTGCAATCTTCTATCTGTTCATAAATTGTCTAAGGACACTAATTGTTCTGTGATTTTTCGTTCTTCCACTTGTGTTTTTCAGGACCAGAACTCGGGGAAGACGATTGGAACTGCTAGAGAGATGAATGGATTGTACTACTTTGATGAAACTCCTCTAGGAAATGCAATGTTTTTTGGTTTAAACAGTGCAAGTTTACCTCCCGTTTCAGATCAAGTTATGTTATGGCATAAGAGATTAGGTCATCCTAGTTTCCCTTATCTTAAGTATTTATTTCCAAAATTTGCCAAAGAGATAAATTCCTCACAATTTCATTGTGAAGCTTGTCATTTAGCTAAAGATCATCGTGTATCTTTTACTTCAAAAATTTATTCTGCTTCGCAACCTTTTTATTTAATCCATAGTGATGTTTGGGGTCCTTCAAAAATTAAAACTATGTCGGGAAAAAAATGGTTTGTGACATTTATTGATGACCATACACGTGTGTGTTGGGTTTATCTCTTAGAAAAAAAATCTGAAGTGGAACAAAGGTTTAAAGATTTTTTTCAAATGATTGAAAACCAATTTCAAACTAAGATTGGCATTCTAAGGTCTGACAATGGCACTGAATATTTCAACAAATATCTAAGTACATTCCTAGTAGCTAAGGGGATCATTCATCAATCCACTTGTCGTGATACTCCACAACAAAACGGTATTGCTGAAAGAAAAAATAGACATCTCCTCGAAGTTACTAGAGCTATTATGTTTTCTATGAATGTACCTAAATATCTTTGGGGAAATGCCTTATTAACTGCTTGTTACCTAATCAATAGAATGCCATCTCGTGTTTTAAAATATGAGACTCCTATGCAAGTTTTACAAAATTATTTTCCCACATCTCGCATCATTGCGGATCTTCCCCTTAAAGTTTTCGGTTGTCTTTGTTATGTCTACATCCCAAATACTTTCCGTTCCAAATTGGATCCCAAAGCTGAAAAATGTGTTTTTCTTGGCTACGCTTCAAATAAAAAGGGTTACAAATGTTTTAACCCAATAACAAAGAAATTTTTTGAAAGTATGGATGTCAGCTTTGTTGAAAATCAACCTTTTTTTAATAAAAATCATCTTCAGGGGGAGAATCATTGTGTTGATAAAGAAGATAATTTTTGGGAAACTTTACCTGCACTGGATGATATTGTGACAACAAATCATCCAGATACAAAGATAATAGAACCCAGAATGCTTAATCTTGAATTGTCGGATAATATCATGTCTGAAACAGGGGGAGAAAAACTGACTGAGGATCATAATCCTCAAATTCAAGTGTATGTCCGAAAAAGGTTTCACAAAGGTATTACAAATCCAATTGTCGCTCCGGAAAAAATCCAATCTGATTTACCAAGTGAAGGTCCTACTGAAACTTCACCTTCTAGTTCTTCATCTGGTAATCCATCTTACTCTTCCAATGATTTACTAGATTTGTCTTTTCCTAATATTAATCTTCCTATTGCTTTGAGAAAAAAAATTCCTGACCTTAATATCCCAATTGCTGATAGGAAACGTACTCGAACATGCACTAAACACCCCATGTCTAATTATTTGTCATATGACAATTTATCACACACTCACAAGGCATATGTGTCTAGGATTTCGAATTTGTTTGTGCCCAGAACTGTTCAAGAAGCATTAGGTGACCCGAATTGGAAATTAGCAGTGAAAGAAGAGATGGATGCTCTAAGAAAAAATAATACTTGGAGTATCACTGATCTACCTCATAACAAAAGGGCAGTTGGATGTAAATGGGTCTTTACAGTGAAATGCAAGGCTGATGGAAATGTAGAAAGGTACAAAGCAAGGCTAGTAGCCAAAGGTTTTACTCAAACTCATGGTATAGACTACCAAGAGACCTTTGCCCCTGTTGCTAAGATTAATTCCATCAGAATTCTTCTCTCTCTTGCAGTAAATTTCAATTGGACACTACATCAATTTGATGTTAAAAATGCTTTTTTGAATGGAGAATTACATGAAGAAGTATATATGAGTTTACCTCCTGGATTTGAAGAAAATCTTGGACGGGACAAAGTCTGCAAATTAAAAAAATCCTTATATGGATTAAAACAATCACCAAGGGCCTGGTTTGAAAGATTTGGAAGTGTTGTTAAGAAACATGGTTTCACCCAAAGTCAAGCAGATCACACATTGTTCTTTAAACATTCAGATAAAGGTAAGCTTGCTATTTTAATTGTGTATGTCGATGACATTATCATGACAGGAGATGATGTTAACGAGATAGGTGATCTAAAGAGAAGACTTGAAGCTGAATTTGATATCAAGGACCTTGGAAAATTAAAGTATTTTCTCGGGATGGAGTTCGCAAGGTCTAAGGAGGGAATCTTTCTCAACCAACGCAAATATATACTTGATTTACTCACAGAAACAGGGATGACAGGGTGTAAAGCAGCAGAAACACCAATGGATCCCAATGTAAAACTGAAGGCAGCATCTAAAGATGAAGTGGTAAATAGGGAACGCTACCAACGACTAGCCGGTAGACTAATTTATTTGTCTCATACAAGGCCTGATATAGCCTTTGCAGTAAGCGTAATTAGTCAGTTTATGCATGCACCAGGACCTACTCATTTTGAAGCTATTTTCAGAATATTGAAATATTTAAAAGGAACTCCAGGGAAGGGGTTGATGTTCAAAAGCAGAGGGCATATACAAGTGGAGGCTTACACAGATGCTGATTGGGCAGGTAATATAAATGACAGGCGGTCTACTTCAGGCTATTGTACTTTTATAGGTGGAAACTTAGTTACATGGAGAAGTAAAAAGCAAAATGTTGTAGCTAGAAGCAGTGCAGAGGCTGAATTCCGCTCAGTGGCCCACGGTTTTTGTGAAGTATTATGGATTAAAAAATTCATGGAGGAATTGAAGGTCTCTATCCCAACACCAATTAAAGTCTACTGTGATAATAAGGCAGCTATTTCCATTGCCCATAATCCTGTCCTACACGACAGAACGAAACATGTTGAAGTGGACAAGCACTTCATTAAAGAAAAAATTGACAGTGGTGAAATTTGTATGTCCTATGTACCTACCACAAGTCAAGTGGCAGATGTTCTCACAAAGAGTCTTCCAAAGAGACAATTTGATGGTATGGTGAGCAAGCTTGCAATGAATGACATATTCATGCCAACTTGAGGGGGAGTGTTGGAAGTTATTAGAGAGATAAGTACAGAATCTGTTGATTCTGTATTATACAGCTCAGCATTCATTGTAAATAATATATGAGTAATTAGCTATTAGTAATTAGTAATTAGTTGTCTTCTACCATATTTAGAATTAGCATTTAAAGGGAGAATTATTGCTCTGATTCTCAGGTCAGATTTAGGATTATTGATCTGTCCCTTGTCTTCTATATATACCTTTCATGTATTACTTATCGAATTATCAAAGAAATACAGATTGTCTGTTTCTTTAGTTTCCAACACACATCCCTCACGTATGGGACTGGACGGATAAATGCAAGCAACCCAATAACAGGTCTAGGAAATAATCTAATACCATCTAACTATGGAGCGAGTTCTCCACCCCAAAAACTAACTAAAGGAGAAACAGGAAAAGTCGAGAACTAGGTGAGGTCAAACATATTGTAGTCTTTTAATAATATTAAAAGTGTGTGGGTCGAAAAAAAGGAAGGTATTTCTTTAAACTTATTAAAAGACAATCTGGTAGACTCTAAATTTAAAAGGTTTCCTTCATATTAAAACATAACAACACCTAGTGTGCCAGAAAACACCAGGTCGTAGACCAAGTGGGTGGGATATGTAATAACTTAATAAGGTCCTTCGATGTGACCGTGATTTCAGCAAGACACACGGCTGCAAATGTCATACCCAATTTCTCCTGGTCTTCTGCAATTAGTGTAGCAGCAAAGGCCTGCTGAAGCACTGTGGATTCTTCACAAACATGGCGTGATTAACATAGATAAGAAGGAAATGGATTCCACGCAGTTACTAAGTCATGCAGGGACTGCTTCCGACCGTCAAATCAGAATGAACGTCTGAGATTAAATACTATATAAAATTAATTAAATACGCTGCATAAATTAGAGCTCTTGGATTGCTTATCAACGACCAAGATCATCTCATCTACTGCATGTAACTGTTTGAAACAGTTATAGCAGGTGATCCAGGTCCAGATAAGAACTATTTAGATCAAATCTTTAGTCCATGTGGAATCTCAAAACACCCTTCCACGTCCAACACAATGAAAGTGCTATAGGCTTCAATGAAGGCAGCCCAAGGTGGATGTGTTGAAGGAAGCAAATGTTTCTAACAACCCCTCACACACAAGACTAAGACATAAGGAGCGTGAATAAGTACAATGGAAAGATATTCCATTTAAATCTCAAGCCCCAAAGGTTAAACATCAAGAAGAGGCTCATCATGATAATAAATTAAACTAAATGAACTTTTGCTTGAGAAAATACAACATTGATTCTATTAATGAGCATGTATTAATGGTAGAAATTGAGAGTGAGAAAGAGGAAAAATTGAACACCTGATTTTGCCATCATAGCAGCCAATCCTACAGTCTTCAAACATATTGTTTTACCACCAGTATTAGGGCCAGTTATAACTATCACACGAGTTTTATTAGATACCAAAAAGTCAACCGGTACCGGCTGTGGTTGGCCTTTGTCCAGAGCAGCAACCTGCCTATCAAAAGTACTTTATCATGAGTCTAAATGATCATCAGATGCATGATAAGCACCAAGTTAAGTTTCTCTTCTAGAAGAAACGTTCTTCTCTTTCAGTTATTTCATGAAGTTTTCCCAGGTGAATAATAGAGAGAGAAAAGGGGAAAACAAGGAAGGAATGGAGAAGAAACAGTAGTCTTGTGTTATTTGTGACTTAACTGAAGTAGCAACGTCTTCTTTGGCCGTCTTAGAATTTTCCCTGTGACTCTGGAGCAATAAAGGATGATAAGCTTTGGGAAGATGCAATATCCATTCCCTATTGTTGGGTATCGGTCCATTGGAATTGTCATTTTTTGTTAAGGATTGAGCAGTAGAAGAGCTATTCCTATCAGGCAAAAATATATGAGGATTTGATCCCCCAAATGAAAGACCATATGTAGCACGCGCATTAATCTGCATAATATGAACGGCATTACTGATTATCTTTCACACAAAAGCATGTGTTTACAATTTTGACAAAAATATAAAGTTACCACATCTAGTTGAACCAAACTGTTTAGTATATTTTCAATATCATCAACATCCAGCTGAATCTGCACACAAATTATGACAACATAAGAGAAAGACAAAAAGAGAACATGGACACAGAACAATCTGTGGAAGACCTTGTGTAGTCAATAACCAATTTTTGGAAATCTTATATGACAGATACATACTGTATCCGTAGATTTAGGCTCATTTAACTGTATTCTTTAGTCAATTAGGACATCCAACAAATCATGGGATTCATCTAACGATTTCCTTTTCTGCTTTGGGTTCTCGTGTATATAGCTAAGCTCGACCATTATGTATTACTCAAAATGAAAGAAAAATACTATTTTGTAAATTCAGAGAGAGAAATTGATCAGATTATGCATGTAAGTTCTAACCTTTTTGGTTAATTCCAAGAGCACATCTGCTTCGGCCTTTGCAACCAAACCTCTTGCTCGCTGCAACTCATCATTTAAGGGAACAGCAGAAAGTGGTTCTACAGTACTTCCTACTCCTGAACTACTGCCAAAAAACTTACTATATTAAAGTGATGGAATTTTAAGTAGTTAATGAATAATTAAAAGCTAAGTTGAGAAATTTTATAAACCTAGATAACAATAGACCCTTAAAACTTGTTTTCTGCCCAGAATCCACTCTTATGCACCACCTACCATCAATGTTATTCACTTCCTGTTTGAATCCTCACACTATTAATAAGGAAAGAAAGAAACATCCGGAGAAAAAAAAGAAAGAAATGCATGTACAGTTAGGTGTATCTTACAAGAATTGATGTTTCACTCTTTTCATTTCTGATTAAGCTTTCCATTAACTGTTGTACCTGATCAAAGGAAACGAATTATCCTAAATAATGGGAAGTATAAAATGAACTCTGGTAGAAATATAAACTACAGATTCTACTATACCATATTACAAATTATAAGCTCTCCGAAAACCACATTACACAATATGGTAAAGTAAGCAAGAGTTACCTTTCTCTCAAGCACTTGCACTTGTTGACGTGACTTTTGCAACTCAGGACTCTATAAAAAGGAAGTAAGTTTAAGTTATACATGTTTTTACGATAAGAGAATCAATTGACGGTAAGCTAGAAGTAGGGGATCAACAAAGGATAAATGCATTTTTGAAGTTTTTTCTCTTAGCAAATACTGCGTAATGAAGAATGTTTAAAAAGACAAGATGCAACAAATGCCATGCCATCTCAAATAACAAAAACAAAATAGTAGGTAATAGCTATCACAAACAACATGTAGAATTAGATAAAGGAAACTAGTACGAGACATGAAACAAACCGCAGAGTCCTTGATAGAGCCATCTTCGTCAGTAACTCGTTCTATCACTTTAACTAAAGATCGATTGACGACAAACTCCATTATCTGCAAACATTCAAATGAGGCCTCAATCAGAGTCACAAAAACATCGTAATGATCCAGATTGCAATCACTAACTTTTTTAAACCTTGGTTTAGTATAAGAAAAAACTATTCAAATGTTTGAAAACTTAAAAGAAAGCAACCTCTTTACAACTACTATAGAACAAAAAATTGAGAGGGAAGTTTCAATCATATAACATGATTAATATGTATTCAAAATCTCATTTCATTAATTACCACTTCTGTAAGAGGCATGAAACGACTATACCAATCTTTATCTTGCTTAATTGTAGCTTTTAAATCACCCTGCAAGGAATCAGAACTCTGAAGAAGAGCCAAAACAGCCCTTGCCTCGTAGCCAGTTACCGGTATGGTTCTCCGTGCATTTTGAATTGCAGTTTGCACCTACAGAAACCTTAAATCAAACACTTGGCATCAAAGCAAACAGGAAAATCATCCATGAAAAAAAGAAACCGTTTTTATAAACTAGGTACCAACCAGCATAGCATCAATCTGACCAAACTGCAACCTACAAGAGCCGTGATTGTACATCTCAACTGCGGCATTGGTTTCTTCGAGAAGTTTGAGACTTTCTTCATAAGTTCGATTCTGGGACCATAATTGATCCTGCTCCATAAACACCCATTGTTAAGACTCTTGATATGGACTAAGAGTATAACTAACTCTCATCTGGTGTAACCGATTTGTAACTAACTTTCATCCGGTGTAACCAATTTGTAATTAACTTGCAAGTAATAATTAACTCTCATCCGGTGTAACCAATTTGTAACTAACTTGCGAGTTATAACTAACTCTCATATGGTATAACTAAATTGTAACTAACTTGCAACTAATAACTAACTCTCATATGGTATAACTAAATTGTAACTAACTTGCAACTAATAACTAACTCTCATTCGGTGAAACTAATCTGTAACTAATGCTAATATCTCGAACAGCCACAATATAAATTCTTAATTATTTTGATATAAGATTGAATAGAAAAAGAGCAAGAGAGAGAGGGGGACCTTGAGGGCGTGACGGCCAAAGGAAGTGGTGGCGAAGGAAGAGACCAAATCGGAGAGTTTGTCCCATTCGAGAACTCGGAGGCTGTCGTGGTGGATGGAAGCTACGACCAAGGTTTGTCTATGTCTGTGTTGTGTATGTTTGAGTTTGTTGATGGTAATTACAGGGAAAGAGAATATGAATGTATTGCAATTGCAACAAGATAACATTTTCTTTAGTTTTCCACCGTTAGGTTCTGGAAATTGCACAGAGTTATGGTTTATATATGTATATATTATCAAGAAATGAGTGGTTGATTAGAAATACCCAATTTTGACACTTCACTACTTCGGTTTCAGTAGCTTAAGAGCAACTCCTTTGGCTGGAAAATATCCAGGTAATTTTAACCAATTTTAAGCAATCTAACAATTTTTTTTTGAAATAACATGCTATTGAAAAAAAATACATAAATAACTATGTTTTTTAGAAAATTACGTAAATAATAATGTTTCAGAAATATAATATACAAGTAAGTTTCAGTCATCTCAAATGGCGAATGCATTTATTTTTTTAAAAGTGGTGCCAAGTGAGATGGCGCATAGGTGCGTATGAAAAGTCCTAAACCATCTCAGATGGCACCTAGGTGTTATTTTCCTTCTTTTTTTATTTTTTTGTTAAAAGAATAAAAGATAATTTGGCGGAATTGAAACTTTGATTTTCAATAATAATGAAACAATTACATAATGGGAATAAATGTTACAATTTATTTAGTTGTCTTTCGGAACTCGATAAGGACTTGTGGTTCCGCATCTGCGTCCTCGTCTAACTCGTGGTGCATTTCGACGGTTTTTCTGTTGCGATTGAGTCGAAGGCCCTACGAATTCAATGCGTTCAAGATCCATGAAATTTGTCATATCAGTATATCCGGAAGATCTGCTTTCAAAGAGTCGGCTACCCATGCCCTCAAAGTTTGATCGTATTGGTGGGGGTGAGGTTCCATGGGTAGTCGATAGCATTGATCGTCTAAATAAGGGGGGTAAAAAGAAAATGAATCTTGTCGAGTTTGGTACTGTGATTGTTAGGTGCTATGGTGATGTGATGGTTGATGGTAAGTTGGGTTGGTTGGGGAATATTCTTCAGGTAGGCTAAGCTGAGAAGATGAGGGGCTTGCATCGGGATGGCGGATGTATGGTCGTTGTTCCTCGTATTGGGATTGTGTGTGGGGCATGTGTGTATTAGTATTGGTCTTGGGTTTGTGAATGGGTGCTGGTGGATCTGTATCGTGGTTGTATTTGGTGGAAGGTTGATGTGTGTTGGATTTGTTGTTGGGGTTGTTGTTAGGCGGTGTATGATTGTTGGTAGTTTTGTTAGGGATTTAAGGACGATGGCCATCGTGTGCGTGGATCGATCAAATACCTCGGGTCAGCCACAAACATTTCAGGGTTAGTAACGGATTTGTATCAATTGATATATTGATATGTCTGTCACATAGGATAGTTCGCGGGATAAATAGGGAAATCTAAGGCATATCGGTGATGTTTCTTCCACATCTTACACCAATCAAACGCGAGTTCTTTCCAATTATTAACACCCCACTGGGCGTCGACCCTAAGGAGATGTCACGGTGTCAAACAAGTTGGGGAGATGGTATATCTTGATGCATGCCAAACTGCTTATATCCCCCGTTTACAAGGTTGGGACCTTGCTCAACGTATATAATAACATCTTTCTAGTGGTAGCAAAAGAGGATTATTGGCCTGCGTGCGAAGGAGAAATAGTTTGGCACAATAATCAAATGTGAAGGAATAAAAAAGGTCGACCCAAAAGCAAGCGTATCACAACTGAAATGGACGCCCTTGACAAGCTAGAAAAAAAGAGTGGTTTATGTCGTCAGGTCAGACACAACCGAAAAAATTGTCCCACTTGTGCTACTAGCTCAATGAAACAACCGGCTGAAAATCATCAAACAATGAAGTCGCTATCGAACGTCATTTATCCCATATGAAGGGAAATGTAAACATAGAGAAAACCTGATAAGGGAGAAGTCACGGTCTTGCGACTGAGAGATCGGGTAAGGGAGTTTGTTACGCGAGGGGAAGGTATTAGCACCCCACACGCCTGTAGTACTTTATGGTATCCACTTTTATTATCTATCCTATGGGTGTGCTTAATCTATGCTTACTGTTTATTGCTGAAGAAGAATGCATGCAAAAGAAAGGATAAAATAATGTAGGGAAAATAAAGTTGTACTCGCTTAGGCCCTACCCCAATTTATACGTATCTTTTTTGAGGAATTAGAGTTACCGTAGTTCGGCTCACATATTTTTGTTTGTTTTTTATTTTTTATGGACAATGTTAATTTCGCCTTCTACCGCAGCTCGACCTTTGGAGACTTATGCGTTGGCGCATAAGTAAATTAATCATGTCCTTACCTGAAAAGGGTTTTAGAGAAAAGGTGTTTGGACGCACAAAAAGGTTTGAGTTGGTTTGTATTTTGTTACCTTGGAAATGGTTTAAGTGTGATTAGCATGTTTTATGATTTGCTAAGGAAAAGGTTTAGTTTTAGATGCAAGGATGCAAAAAGGGAAGAAAAGAGTCTAAAGAGAGACTAGCCTATTTCTAACCTAGTGTTATCATACAATGGTGGCCCTATATCAAGGATGAAAGGGAAATATCTACCTAATGTTAGCATGCATGGTTTACAACCTAAGGTCTAACTTGCATCCGAAGGGAGCAAGTACGTCCTAAGGGAACATGGTATGTATAAGGATAAAACAAGAAAACTCGAAAGAGCACACATATAAAAGAATAAGGAAAAAGAACGAAATGCTTTAGTCAAGTGGAGTGTATCACCCGAGACAAACAAGCGGGAGTGAGATGAAAAAACAAGAACGTGATGTTCAAAGCGACTGAACACCTAACCAAGATATAGAAGATCGAGGTAGGCGGAGGAAGACAATATGAACGATCACGGAGTATCAGCATCGGTCAATGCAAACTTCTGACAAAGCGTGGGGGTTTGATTGCAGAACCTTTCTCCACTTGATGACTCGATACACAAGAGTAGGCACAACTCCGAAGCATCGTGGTGTGTCACGAGCTAAAGATGACACGAACGGATTTGTGGGGGTTGATTGTGAACCCTCCCCACTCGCCTCCTTTTGAGGACTTCAATAAGGGATGGAGAAATAATGCAGGCACAAAATGTAAACACACTTGCAAAATACCTACACAGAGGTAGGGTTTTGAACAAACCATACACAAGTAGCACACAATGGAAAACAATGCGGAATTTCCCTAAACGGGTCTTTAAATAAACTAGAGGGGTTCCTGACATGATCAGCAATGGAGACCCCCGTCATACATCTCTATCCTACTTCTCATGGCATCCAAAAGCAGTAAATCCCTACTTCTCATGATTTCCAGAAAAGTGGTAAAGAAATGCGATAAAGTGCGGAGAAGTACAAAGGTAGTGACGACGACTACCAAAGCGAGCAAATCGTCAAGAGCAGACGAAAGTAATGGAGAAGCAGGGAATACGCATCGAGCAAGCTTCACCATGAAACAAACAAAGTCATAAATAATATCCAACTAAGATAAATGAAAATGCGTGTTACGAGTGCAACGCTTAACCAGAAGTTCCTGCATAAAATACAATTACAAGATACGGGGCACAAAACAATGGCATGCGTGTTGAACGCAAAATCGGACCACAAATCGAAAGTCCAAACAAGTTTTCCGATCAAATAATCGAGCAATAATTACATGATCGGAAACTATCCAAATGTACCTTGCATAATCAACACACATGTTAAAAATATCAAGGAAAATTAAAGTATAAAAGAGTGGAAGGAAATTTGGAGCAAACAATAGCAAAAGTAAAGCCAAAGGAGCAAAAACAAAAATTTGGAAAAGTTGCGTTGACCGCAACAGGGCATGCGTCGACTCATGCCTGAAATTTTCTCATTTTGCATCGACCGCTGGGTCAGTGCAACACTTCCCGCAGGTGATCGGTGTAACACCCCTTCTAAAATAACCCGCGAATATATTAATTAAATCAGAGTAACATGAAAAACAGGGATGTCACAATTCAAGATAAATATAAAACCTCAAATTTACAGTTGTCATGCTTTACTGAAGGAATTATTATTATAAATATTTAAATCAACATCATGTTCTACACAGCGGAAATATCTCAAAACTGGAATAACTTCACTTCGTAAGTATTCCCAACATAAATTAAACAATAGAAAATAAAACTCGTCATTCAAACGTTTCCCCCAGTGTTACAACCTATCAGAGCACGACACTGACACGCAGACTAAAATAACATAGCTCTAGAGCCATCCTCACCAACTCCTGAGCTGCTAACTTTAATCTGAAATAATTAAAGTAAGGGTGAGATTTTTCATAATTAACATGCATTATAAGTTTCTCAATCAACATTATATCACAAGCATATTATTTAACCCATTTTAGCATAAATTCAGATTCAACACACAGTTACAATCATACAAGTCATTATGCACAATTCAAGAATCAACCAAAGAATTGTAACACTGGAAGACATCCTAACATGTTACACTTCCATGCAAACATAAATGCAGACACAATGCATGTGGTACCAACACGTGACCAAGTCACCATCACTGATCCATCACTCTCGGATACAACAACCATCGATTCGTCCATCACACTCAGACATGAATCCAGCCGAAGCAATCATCGATTCGTCCATCACACTCAGACATGAATCCAGCCTAACCACCCATCACTCTCGGGTATCGGTTAACGACAATACAAGTCAAATTCCACACAATGGGAATTAACTTCACCAAATTAATGCATATGCATGTACATCACTAACATGCCATATCAATCAATGGAATATGATCACAACATAATTCCAAATAATGCCAAAACCAATATACTACAGGATCACATCTCAATCATAATGGATAGCAGGCACAACACATGAGTATCAACTCTCATTCACCAAATCAGAACAATTCACAACGATTCTACATCATTCTCAAAATACCAAGATTTACCAAAAATCGGAAATTCGACTCTTTTTAAAATAATTTTTCATAAAATAATATTTTTCTTATTTTATAAGATAGAGTATTTAATTTAAGAAATAACGTCCAAAACGGCACTCAAAACGGACTTACGGTTTGAAAGTTATGAATTTTCAAAGTTTAGTATTTTTCAAAAAGTTACAGCAGAA